TGCTTTCCCCATTAGCGTGTGGAAAGTCATAGAGGAAGGAAGTACGTTAGTTTCTCTCTTGATTTTCATATAGATTGAAATCTTTTAACTTGAAAAACTATATGGAACTGAAAACTACATTAAACATAGTTCTAAAGAAAAGTATTATGGAAATTTTAAAAAATATTCTTATTAAATAAAAAGGAAAAATATTAAGAAAAGGGAAAATATCGTAGTACATTCCTATACAACTGAAAAGAGGAGGAGAGGGAAGGGAGAAGGGCTAAAGGCATGAAACCGGTCTCTCCCCAGATGGCGTATTCGAGTGTTGCGATCGCGAATGGGAAAAAATTGTACATTTTCTGTGTTTTGAAAAATTACCCTAATAGAAATCATAGATAATTTTTAATTTAGCATCTGTTTTGGCAAAATTATTATTTCCTGTGAACTGGTGGGTGACCACTTGGATCAGTCTGCGTAGGGACCGAGGGTGTGCGGTATTGGTCCTCGTTAAACTGTGCTACCGTAAAGTGCTCGACTTCGCGCGCAGGTCGTCGGGCTACCGAAGCGGGGGTTACCATCCCCTCCGCAGAGGATCAAAATTGTGATGGCATGTCTTCGGATCATCCTCCGGGATGTTTCTCAGACCGTCGCCAATAGCCCATTGTGCAGCTCTAGTGCGACGTAAATTAACAACAACAACAAATGCTAAACTGGCTCTCAAGGTATAATTCTATAATAAAAAATAAAGCAATTTCTAATGATTATCAAACGAAAATTAGCTTTCCTATAACAGATTAAGAAATGCTTTTAGTTTATTATGTCTTAAACATAGGAAGCACACATATTTTTAAAAACACTTCATATGTAGATAATGGAAATACCTGTAGGCCCCCCCCCCGAAAGAAAATTTACTGGGAGGGGGGGGAAACGACGTCAATTCCCCTTTAAATTCTTTCCCCCCCTCAATTTTTAGTAATAAAATTCTTAAAAGAGAGAGCAATTACTTAATTTGTGTGATTTTTGCTTTGAAATAATTCTTGTTCATGCCACCTATTCGTGTGGTGGCTGGAGTTTTCATTTAATACAACTTCGGTCTGGGTTCTATTCTCCATAGTAAAGGCTGGATGTCAGCGATCAGAATCTTCTCTAATGTAATGTGCCCAGTGACATGGAAAAGTGTGCGCATGGTTGGATAGCGAGGTACGGAGATCAGGGGATTAATCATCTACCCTCCGGTATAAATTGAGTATTGCTAAATTGTATCAGTATTGCTTTCGGATCATCGAGGAATGACCCTAAAGTGCCCCTTACTAAGTAACCCCTCGAAGGTAAAACACTTAAATAGCATTCTCACTTTATCCGGCAGACGAACCGTCAAGAGAAAATGAAAACCAAATCTTTGATTTTTTCGGGGGGAAATATATTTCACCAATCAAGTTCTCATACTCCTTCGCAAGTGCATGAACCACAACTTCTGGCTCTTCAAGAAAGCTCAAACTGTAGTTTGAAACATACCGGTTGAGTTGATAAAAGTGCATAAGTGAAAACAGAATGAACCAATGACTTACTGTAGCGCAGATACAGCGATGTGGTTCTAAAAGTTTAGTATTATACTAACTTAAATACTGCCTGGTAAGCAGCATGAATTTTATGGCAGTTGAATATATTTTTTAAATAATAATTTTTCTTCGTGTTTTCAATTTATTTAACCTAGTTTAAGTTTTATCAAACATTTGTTGATTAATTAAAAATAATTCTTGTGTAAGAAAAAAAGATGGCAGCTTAGCTATTGTAATGATTTTTGGAGGCAATTCCTGAATGACACGTCAACAATAAAATTTGAAACTCTAACGTGCATGTGGACTTTTCTAAAATTAAAAAATATTATTATATTTCTTATTTGTTGTGGCTAATTCGAATTTTGAAATATTTGTGAACAGACATATTCATTTGCCCGTTGCTACTTAACTTTTACTAAGGTGGGTAGCAGCGCAATCGGGCTCATAAACGTTACATATATTATTTATTTTTTATCTTTTAGTTATGTTTAAATAAAATTTATTGGTTAAATTAGTTATATTGTTCATTTGTGTCATATTTTTTGTTCAATTTTAATCTTAACTTAGAAATCATAGTCTACTAAACGTAACAATGTTCCTTTGTGTTAGCCTTGCGAAAAAGATTACAATTATTATTAGATTTAATATTTATTTTAAAGGCGTCATAGAGTAATGAATTAGCTATAAAATGGCATAGATTTATGAAAAAGAAAATCGTTTTGCACAAGATTTTTTTTTTATAAAAAAATATACGTATGCACTTTTTTTACACCTATATAATCGCTTACGCGTGTCACTTATTTCAATGAGCTTGTAATAAAACATAATGCAAGGAAACTACTTAAAAACCGTCCTTAAATGTTAACAATATATATATTTCAAGAGTGCAGTAATTCCTAATTTGCAAAAGGATTTTTGCTGCATTGCGTAATACCCATGTTACGATCTACTTTAAGCAATGTTTAATGTGGCGTATATAAGAAAGTCTACAGTTCTGTTTTATGTAGACAAAAATAACTCCCTTTTCTGAGGGTGAGGGGCGATCTTTCAATGCAGGGAACTAATATAAACAAAGACGCTAATATAATAATAAATAGTGAAACTGCAATATTTTAATTGATACCTACAGCCAATACTTCATTATTGCCTAAATCATGGTGCTATGTTTAGCAGCAGAAACAATTAAATCCTGTAGCTAATCTTTTAGTTTTTGTTTAATTGTGAGATTTTGATTTTCAGATATGTATTGTACTTTGGCTAATAAAACACTTGAGGCCTTGTAATCTGCCAGACTTACATTTTGATTATTTAGAAAGGAAATTAATATTTTATAGGGGTTTGGATATGGTTTTTCGGTTATTAACTTATGAAAGTCAATGCCTTAGGTATTTCATTGAAATCTTATATGTAAATTTTTATTAGTACGACTTTAGTAGCAAGTGACTTAAAAATTTGGCATTAATGTACAAAATCTGTGCAACAGTTGACAGAAATTCATTCTAAATGTTTCAACTGTTCTCTTACGAGATAACCACATTAAAATAACTATGTAAGGAATTAAGAATCAATCTAATAAATATTTGAGTCATTACATTTCAATACAGTGTTAACAAAAAAATTTACCCTCTTATCAATTTCATTGTAATTTTCTAAATAGTGTTTTACTTCTTTTTAAAAGGATATTGCATATGATAATTAAAAGGTTTATCTCTTTGCTTAATAAATGTACAGCAAAGTTACTTAACAAATGTATTTCGTGTTCCAATATTTAATTTTTGGTTTAAATTTGATTCATTTCATTATGTCAGTGATCTATAACTTAAATTCAGAGTTTTGTTGAAATAAGGAATCTGATTAACTTTTTATATTATTTCAAAATGCTAAGAGGTTCTTCCTTATTCAAGATCTATATGAATTATTTGTAATTAAGGAACTATCTGTTCTCCTTAATAGTTTCAATTATGAATACAGTATTTATTTATTTGGTTAATTTACCCTAGTCGCCAAAGTTAGATTGTAATCCAATTTATACAATAAAAATGTTAAATATATATTCAAATTTTGGGAATCCGACGAAATTTATAAATTAAAATATTTTATTAAATCTTGTTCAAATTACTAATTATGTTCGCTATTTTTTTTTTAGAGTTTTCTGTCATTTAATTTTGTTCTACAGCAATTAAAATATTTACTGATTAATTATTGTAGCAAAGGGCTATATTTTTAGATCAGTTAATTAAAATTTTGGAGAAATATCCATATCAATACCAATGAGTATGTAATCAAATTTCAGCGACAAATAGAGAGTGGGATGTAAGAAACCAAAAGAATTACAGAATAGGACAAACTTGAAAGGTAAACTGATTTATTCACAGGCAAGCCCATATTTAGTTTCTTTTTTTTAAATTATTCCAATGGCAACATTCTGGCAGTTTTACTTGGCGATTTCAGATAGTTTGAAGAGATATCGAGAGGAAAATATCCTTAAAATGAATTTGATATAAATAATTGACCTTTTAAATTAATTTTCCTAACATATTTATAAATCTTATGCATTGGATGTTTAGTTTTCTTGTAGGCTTTAGTCTGAGAGTTAGATAAATACAATTGTACTTTTCATAAAATGTATTCTCAAATTTGGACGGATACTCTTCACGAAGTTCCCAAAATTTGGTCATGATGAGAAGATTTTGAAAAAACAAATTTTTACCAATTCTAATATTCTAATTAAAAATCTTGTAATTGATCAGTTTTTGTACATTGTTTTAGTTTTTAAGAAAATATAGTGTAGCTCTGCCTAGTGGTAGCTTTAAATTTGCCACTTCTGTATTTCATTTCAGTTTCTTATGTGCCACTACCTCATTGTTGCTTTGACTAGGTGATTATTTTGGATATAGTGCAAAATTCTTTTGTACAAATGATTTGTATGATTATTATCAACAATAATTTCATTGTTGATAATAATCATAATTATGTGATTTATACTTTTTTTCTTATTTCTGTTTTGTGTTTTCTCATTGATTAAGGATTATGCCCATAACTTTAAACACTCAACCATTTCTTATAGCATTGGGTGTGTCAGGTACTTTCAGAGAAGAGTATTGTTTGCACTTTTTTCTATTTTTAAAAGGTTGAACTGTACCAAACTTAACATTGACTCCTAAACGCTTGCTACTATTACATTTCAAGAAAACACCTGCCATCTAAAAAGAAGACATGGTATACCTATATAATTTCTACTGTTTTAGAAGCAGCTGATATGACTGACTGTACTTGTTGGCAGCTTCTTAGTCCCCGGTAGGCAATACTAGTTGCAGATTGAGAACATCCTCTTGAAAGTGGAAAGATTTTTCTTCAATGTAGACATTAAATTTTTTTTGTTTCTTAGTCATTTCTTTTTGGTTCCTTATTTCAGATTAAGAACAGCATCTTCAAAATGAAATGATTTGTTTTTAATAGTGACATTTCATTCTTCTTTTATTTTCTCTGTAAAAACAATTCCACAAAAGCATCTAATTTTATTTAATTTCTTCAAGAAATCTTTTGACTCTGGAGGGATAAGGCTAAAAATAAATAAATCTGGGGACATTTCTGTATTGCTTCATGACACATTCTTTGTGAGTGTGAGGTCTTTTTCTGCTCAAAGATTTGAGCATCTAGAACTACATTGTATTAAGGTCCTGGAACTGCAAGACATTCCGGTTAGGTGTTTGCCGAACTTCGTTTCACTAGTCATGCCCTTTGGTTTGGATACTATAGACCTATGGTTGATGTGACTCGCTCGTCTGAGCTGCCCAACCACTAAGTCAGTGGTGCCAAATGAAATCCCCAAATTATCTGGATTTGGCTTTAAGTTTTATTCGTCAAGTTTGCTCTATTCAGTGATGTATATTAGTTTCCTATTTGTTGATGACCATTTTTTTTGTTGTTCTAACTTATTTAGTTTAGTTTCTTACGTGCTACCACCTTGTTGCTGAAACTTTGTAACCATTTTAACATAGGTATGGGCATGACATTTCCTACCAATATCCTAAAGGATTCGACATTTATTGATCAGATTTTTCCTGTTAATTTGCTATTTTTATTTTCTTTGTTTTCATATTGTTTGATCCTTTTTAATTGTTATATGCCTGCATAATTTATAAATCTACATACATATTTGAGTTTCTTAAATAAAATTATTCTGATTTTTCCTAAGTTCACATAATATGTAACATTGAAACATCAGTAATTTTTAAGAAAATTTCCGAAATGTGAAAAGTTAATTAAAATTAGAAAACAAATTACATAATTTTCAAAAATATTTTATTCTGGTTGTATTTTTTATTTATGGAAATTCAGGCCCAAAAGGCTAAGTGAAAATGGGCACTACGTGACATATTGTTGCTTATGTCCAATTTTAAAAGGAAGGGGAGCAAAATTAAAATAGCATACTGAATTTCAAAAAAAAAAAAAAGAAGAAGAAAATTTATCTTCATCTGTAAAAAGATTTAAATTAATTTTTAAACTTTTTTTTTTTAAAATTTAGCTGAATTTAAACATTAATTATTTATTAAAACTTTATTTTTTGGAAGTATCTTGGAGGACTTTTAGAGATTTCTAGTAAAAGTGTTGAATAGATACTAATTTTATATTTAATGTGTACTAATAGATACTAATTAATAATTTTTTTACACATTTTCGTTTGTAATGAAGTAAAAATAGTTATGTTCAAACATTTTTTAAATTTATTTTATGCACTGGTTTTTGGTCCATCTAATATTCTATTATAAAATCAATCCATGCAACAATTCTAAAAATATGATTTATGGAAGAAGGAATGTGTACAATACTTCAAACTTAAATTTCATAAAATAAGAAAGTTGTTATAACCTTTTGCTTACAGTTCGTACAAGTGCACCAGAATGACAAACTGCTATGTTAGCAATGCACTGTAAGCAAAAGATTAGTTTTTAATATCAATTGCAATTATATGAAAATTTTTTCCTTTCTTCAGAGATTCTCAAAAATATTCTGTGAATGTCATGTGTATTAGGATGTATCTCAAAAAAAATAATTTATTTTTTTAATTCAAAATTTCAAGTCGATAAAAAAAGCTGTTACTGCTCTTACATAATTACCAGAATTTCTTTTAGTCTAAATGATATTCTTTGGTTCTCCTAGAATAAGCCTTAAGTTTTCATTTATTTATTTTTGATGGGGTCAGACATAAATTTAAATTAAAAAAAAAACACGTACATATAAAACAAATTTCAGTTTTAAAATTCAAAAATGCATAGTAATAGTAAAAAATTTATATATGTACTGTAGCAATAGGTCATAGAATCAATGGGAAAATCTTAATTTTCATTAACAAATACACATAATTATAATAAATAATACTTATAAATTTAAATTTATTCTTGAAGTTAGTTTGCCATTTTGGGTTGGAAAAGAGTTTAATTAAGACCTAAATATTACATTTCATTTGTAATTTTTTGATCATTACCTTACCTCATTGATCTTGAAAATTAAAATTTGTATTAAATTAATACATTTTTTAAAAGCAAGTAAAATTAAATTTTTTGGCCCCAAGAAACGAAATTTCAGGCTAATTTTATGAGACCCTAATGCTCATCGCTATGACCGAATAATATTTTGGTAAATATGTGAATCAGAGACAATTTTTTAAAGACATGGAAATTCTGAATATTGAAAAAAAAAGAAGTTTTTTTGAGATACACCTTAATGAAGTGTGATCTAGTCATAGTATTATTTGACTCATGAGTTATCTCTATTATTCCATAGATTGTAAGTCGTCTTCATGAATCACACTGCTCATCAGATTGTTAAATTAAACTAGTGATCCTTGGATTGCACATTGCTGGAAGACAATTTAACGATAATCTTCACTTATAGGTAATTTGTCCTGCTTCTTGCAAGCAGATTCTATTGTATCTTTGATCACTTATTGCAAAGAAGATAGCAATCCTTCAAATTTGTTGCATCCTAATATTTGCTGATATAATTTTAAATTATATTCACTATTTGATAATTCATTTCTCTTTAAAATCGAAATTCGCAAATATTATGATGTTCTCAATATCTAAACAATGTCTTTGTTTTATAGTTTGATTCTATCTTTTTGTTTTCTAACTGTCATGCTTGAAATAATATCGGGGGCACAGAACTGATGTTCCAAAATGTCACTCACGAGTATTAATCGGGGGAATTCTTTTTAGCACATCGTATTGTAATACCTGAATATATATATATCGGGAGAAGCTTATTTAGACTTCATCTCTTTGTCAAACGAGAATCTATCTTGGGAAAAGTCAATGTAGATGCAATTTAGAAAAATAGATGGCAGCACTTTACTGAAAGTTTCAAAGGATAGAGGTTTATGTGTAAGTTCACAGCATTTTTTTGTTGCAAAATGGGGTTTGGTTCTTTCAAACATTATGTAGATGATTTATTTTTTTAGAAAATAATTAAATTCCTCCACTGGAAGCAAACGTTACCACTGCCACACTGAGCGGCAGCTGCTTCAAGTGAATATGCAGTCGTTACAAAAACTTAAAATTTTCATGCTTATAATTCAAATGATCAATTTTTACATTTGAAGTATAATTGATTTTGTACTAAACACTTGATTTTTGCAGTAAAAAATGACAATTTCTGTACCCAAATCATTAAAATAACTTGACAGTTAAAAGCGAAACTGCAATGTAAGATAGCGATGCTCAAATTGCCACCATTTAAAAACCCTAGTTCTACGTCCAGAACTTTCTCTGTCTCGTATACTTCTATATTGGTATCTGTTTGCTGCAACTATCAAAAAGGTGCCCCAAAAATTTTAAGCTTGTGAAAATTTAAAGAAAAAAAGGTTTGTCCCGGTGTGGCTACTTATAGGTGTAAGAGTTATACCTTTCAAATTGGCCCTTTTTAGGAATTTTATTTCCTTCTAGTTTCTCGCTGGCTACTGCAGGCAAATCGCCAAAACTTTGAGTTTATTTTGATGTAGATATGAAAATCTTTGCTACTTTTGTCTGTGCCGCTGTTTATGAATGTTATATTTTCACTTATCAGATCAAAACAGAAACTATTGCAACTTTTATATCTATGATTACCCACATGCTAATGCCGAAAGCTGTTTTAATGACTAAAAGTAACAAGGTTTGTGGTAAGAGGCTATGGTTATCAGTTTTCTTCTCCAGGCACAGTAAAATAATATTTAGCTCATTGCAAAGATTACCAATTTTCTTGAATCTATCAGTTTTCTATTATGTGTACTATTAACAGTACTATTTCTTTGTAGGAAATCTATTGTCAACAAATTTTTTATTTTATTATTCTGGCTATTGCTATAACATAGCTGCCAACCCTTCTGCATTTTGCAGAAGCTTTCTGCATTTTTACTTATTTTAGCTATTTTTTCCTCTTTTATGCGCAGAAGATAAGATCTTCTGCATTTTACCCATCTGCCTGATAGCTAGTATTTTCTTTAAGTCAGACGTCGCTGTTTCTCTTGTAACAGCGTTTGGCAAGGCCGTAACTACATTTTTAATCGAATATTGTACCATCAAGTAGCTGGTCGAAAGTTTTTTTAAAAAATATTTCCTTTTTTGTTTTAAAAAAAAGATGAGTATTGCTTTTTTTTACTCATAATAAGTGGATTTATAAATAAATAATTAATCAAAATAGTTAAAATCCGCTTCTTTTATAAATTTATTGGTAATTAGTATGTGCTTGCGAATCTTCTGCATTTTTAGGCATTTCTTCTGCATTTTTTTTTTTTTTTTTGTCTATCTTCTGCATTTTTATAACTAGAGGTTGGCAGCTATGCTATAATGATGAATACTCCTCTACTGCAAAATCTTCTAAATAAGAATCTGGGAAATTTCTAGGATATCTTGAAAATATCCTGAAAACGATACTCTTTTATCCGAATAAGTTACAAGGGTCATTTTAAAAGTAAAAACCGATTGTGCATCCTATCAAGTGACGTCAGTTTAAGGTCAGCAACTATTTTCGAAGTCTCATGCCGTTATAACATTTTAAGTCTGCCATTGTTGATTGTATGGTTAAAGTGCTTTGTCCCCATGACAATCAGTAATCCTGCTGATTGTGAAATGCGTTCTGTTATTCGGTTTTTAAATACAATAAAAGTTCATCCTGCTGAAATTTACCAACAGCTTGTTAAAGTTTATGGTAAAGTTGCAATGAATGTTGGAAATGTGCATAAGTGATGTAGGTTTTTTAATAAAGGCAGAATAAATGTTCTGATAAAGAACTGGATGGGATACTGACGTGAATGGGAAGTACTGGCTCATCCGCCATACAGCACTGACTTAGCACCATCAAACTTTCATCTGTTGTTTTCTTTGAAATGTATTTTTATAATTTTTTATAATTCTTTTTTATAATTTTATGTTAATAAGAGTCACAACTGCCTTAATCTTTTGATTTAGTGCTTCTTTTCCGAATAATAATACTAATTGCATTTTGATTTTTTAAAAAAACTACTGTGCAAAGTAAAATTGCTAATTTTTCCATTTTGATATACAGAAAAAGCACACTATTGCAAATAATACCTATTATAAGATATTTGTTATTCGGAAACGTTTCGAAGTAAACTTCAAAATGCTTATATTAAAGTTGCAGAAATTGAATGTCTATAACGGATAAAAATTAATCTACTTCCACCAGTTTATTAAATTTTTTTAAGGTAAATAAATTTTACTATTTAACAGAGTAATATTGTATGAAAAAGAAGAAAGCGGAAAACAATTTTATTTATTTATGGTATGAATACCAAAAAAAAAAAACATTTTCTTCCAGCAATCTTAATCCTTCATGTTTATAAAGTCAACATGTGTTGGCGACCACCAACTAGCTTATGTTTCTTTTTATAATAGATATTTCTGCTATTTTTAAGGATCTTCAATTCTTCATCACATTTCAAAAGAATATACCTTTTATTGACCACATAACAACCCTACCCTTAATTTCCTTTCTTAACAGCTTCCTTTTGAAACCAGTATTCAATGATGTCAAAAACCATTTTGCTATTTTAGTATTAAATGTGTGTTTTTGTTTAATAGCAGCAAGCTCGCTGTGCGACAATTCCAACTACTTAACTAAATTTGTTGTTATAAAGGACTTTTCTACTGTACTTTTCTTATTAATAAAAAAACTGATTTAACACCTTTTCAAGCATATTTTAAGTCTGCTATGATTTGGAGGAAATGCAATCCAGTTAAATTGACATCCATATGTTTAAATTTTGGAAACTTTAAGTTTCCAAACTTGGGAAACTTTAAGTTTCCAAATGCTTATAGAAAATGTTACATTTGTAGTGTGAGTCTGGACGCAATTGTATACGTTATATCAAGGATTTCAACACATTTGTATATATTATATCAAAGATTTTTATACTTAAGTATAAATTATAAAATGGATTTCTAATTTTCACTCTTTTTAATACATTATGTCATAAATCTCGACACATTTGTAAATGTTTCATCGATGATTTCAACAAATTTGAATAGATATCAAGGAATTCTATGCGTTTGAACAATTAATTATGAACCACTATTGGAAAGCTCTAGTCTTTATTCAGAATTCTTATTCATGGTTTTTAAAATTATTATTAGACTATTTTTATCGTTTATTTCTGAGTATGTAAAAAAATTTTGCCTTAGTGAAATGCACTACTTTTGATTTTTTGCGACAAATATATATTAGATATATATTAGTCATTTTCATTAATATGGTAAATTAAAATTAATACCGCCTATAAATTTGCAGTTTTATTTTTAAAAAAAATATTTAAAAAAATCCAATGATGTTACATTTTTCTGACATTGCATTTTACACTTTTTTTACATTTTAATTATTTTTGTCTTTATATATTAGTTTAGATATAAAATAATTAGTAGTGTAAAATTTTCATAAATTTCTGCTTTAAATATTAGTTAAATTCAAAGATTCCTTAAAACTACATCATTGATCTAAAAATGCAAAAAAAAATAAGAAAAAAAACTTGATGAGTTTGTACGATTAAGGTTATTATATATAGTATATAATTAACCTATATAGTATATAAACAGTGATTCCAATTGTGTGCTGTAATGAATTAAATATGTTAAAACGTGAAATTTTTGAAATAATCGCACGTGAAAAATATATTGTAAGCAAAATTATAACTCAATTTTATATATATATATAAATAATCCTTTTCCTTTTTAATTAGCAGCTGAGGGAGAAAATTAGAATAATTCTGAGTATCATATTCAGGACCTGTAGGGAATTTGGGGATTTAATTATCGACTATGTCAACCTTCATCTATCATTCTATCAAGTGACACTTGATGTTTTTTTTTATATAATTACATTCTTTAAGTCTCTCATTTTGAGTTAAAAATTTTTTCTATCATGCGTGAAAATAAGTTAATTATTTTATTCTGTTCTATTCTTTTTTATACTACTCACAGAGATTTTTTTATCATACTTTGGCTCGGGTTTCACATGTTAATGGAGTGCAGATGGTAATATACTATATCTAGCATTGAAGACTAGTAATCTGTAAAGATAAAATCAAGGTTAAATTTTATTATTTTAGTAACCATTTTCATGATTTACAATCAGTTTATTTTAATAAACAATATATTATTGCCATGAGTTAATATATTTTCTGCAAAAATAATTGGAGGATAATATACATCTTACTACCTCTCAGTCTGTTTTATTGACACAAACTGTAGAGAAGAATTTAGTTATGCAATATCACATGATCCAGGAAGAAAGATGTTAATATATATTTTATAATAGTTTATTTCATGCTTACATAATCTCTCTTGTTTGCATTTTCAGGACGTATAATTATTCTTATTGGTTATTATTCATATCGAACGACA